AATGCAGCTGCTGACACACACTGGGACAGGGCTTGGGGGGATGGCAGCCTGAGTCCCCACCAGAAGGCCAGAGGCTGGGTTTTTTACAGAAAGCCTTCCAGAACTGGAAGCAAACGACATGTGCCAAGGCACAGGCAAGGTACCTCCAAAGGACTGCAAGGACTTTAGGGTGCCTGAGGGAGGAGCACAGCGGCAGTGCAGGGGGTCCTCCTTGAGTGCTAAGGAGCCTCCGCTCCAGCAGGGAGAGCTGGTGGTTTAGGTATAGGCCTAGGCCAGCTGGCACCTGCACAAACTCCCAGCTCAGAGGCAGGATGACTTTTGTCCTTGGGCCGTCTGAAAGTCTGAGGGCGGTGGGTGTTTGAGGTTTATGGCTGGAGTCAAGGTTTTCTGCTGGCAAGGTGGGCTGGGTACTGGCCCTCAGCCTGGCTGACACCCACAGCCAGGGCCGAACTGTCCTATTAGCCTGGGGGGCCTGAGGGGAGCTCAGGTCTTTTAGCTTTCATTCCTTTCCTGCCATGGCCTGTGCCCTCCTGGACCCCCACCACCACCCTCCACCCCACCCCTGGCTGCCGTGCAGTATTTCAGGTGAGGCTGGCTGCTCACTGGCAGCCAGATCTGAACAGACACCCCTGGTTCTCCTTTGGTGACTGCTGAGCTTCCACCTTGTTTCATGGAGTAGGTCGGTTGCCCCTCACCCCTAGGAGCAAGGTTCTGGAATAAATAACTAAATGACTGTCCCTATTTCCTGCAGCCCTTTCTCGAGGAAGCTGACCAACTCTGGAAATGGGGGAAGTGGCCTTGCTAAGGTCATGACCCGAGGGGTTGACACAACCCACCCCTCTCCAGCTACTCGTCAGGGCTCCTCCCACTGTCCAGCTGCCTTCTGGGTCTACAGGCTCTGCTCACTGGATGGCCTGGGGCTTGTCAGTGAACCTCTCTGAGCCCTGGCTTTCTGGGCAGGTTATAGGAAGGGCCAAACTCACATGCTGAAACTCCAATGTGCATGTGTGAGTTTGTCATTAACTATGACTGGTCACTAATAATGTATCACTGCAGTGTTCTTCTTCACTGCCAACTAACACTTAGTCTTTTTCCACCTAAAATGGTCTTCTTTGGTCTCTAAGTCAGAGTCTTTACAGGAGCACTTAGTTCTGCTAAGGGGACACCTGGATCCAAGAGTGGCCTTCTGCTGGATGTGCTGGTCACACTGCCCTTCCTGCTTTCAGGACCGAGCCCCACCTGCCAAGGTCACACACAGGCCATGAGTGAGGTCTGCTCTCACAGCCCAGGCAGCGCCAGGGTCACCTTGCCCGTCTTTGGTGGCCACCCTCTGAGCTGCTGACCAGCATCCTCATCCATCTCCGCAGGCTGAGGGCACTTTGAATCCTTTCCTTGCAGTGCCAAGGGGGAGGTGGGGTTCTGGGGCATGCTTCAGACCATCTGCTCACGGTGCCGCAGCTGCGTGGGGTGGCTGCCTCACCCAGCCAGGATTTCTGCTCAAATTTCAATCCCTTCTCATGCCCAGGCACAGGGGCTTCAGTGCAGGTTGGGTGGGGGGAGGGTCTCCCAGGGACCTCGCTCCAGCTGAGGCATCCCAAACTGGAAAGCCACTTTCTCTCCAGAGCGGCTTACCCAGGCCATTCCCTCCTCCTCCCTCAGCCCACAGGCTTTCTGTTCCAGACCATACCTGCCCTACCTGTCCAGAGCCAGTGGGCCTCACAGCTTTGTTTGAATGGCAGGAATGCAGGGGAGGACACGGGCAAATCTGGACAATAGGGGTTGTTTACAAAGTGTCCTTGTCTCTATGACATACACTCTTCCCTCCGCCTGCCCTGTGGAAGCAGTGAGCTTCCCTCCTTCCTCTCTCCTGCCCTCGGCTTGTCACCAAGGGCCAGGTCAGCCAGACCTCTGGTCCTAGGAACCACCTGCTCTGGCCTGACTGGCTCCCACCTACCTGCCAGTTTCTGCTGCAGGCTGGGCCCTGGACGCCCACCTTTAGATGGAGGCCCAGCTCAAGAGAGGCTGGGCTTTACCCATGGACCCTAGATCCTTCTGGGAATGTAGGTCGGCCATCAGGACTGGAAGTCACAGCACAAGCCACAGAGTGCGGTGCCTGGCTGGATGTCTGGCACCAGAGGCCTGGCCCGCCCTCCGTCAGGAGCCCTGACCCTGCCAGGCCCACAGTCCCATTGGTTACTGGGAGTGGCCACAATAGGGTGTTCACGAGGTCACATAAAGAGCTTGGCTGTGTCCAGAGCACAGTAAGTGCTAGAAAATGGCTCTCATTGCTGCTGCAATGCCAGAAAGGGTCCCACATGGGATTCAGGAGAGTGAAGAAGTTACACTGAGCCTTTCTGCCCAAAACCCCTGGCTGACCCAGAGTTCCCTCACTCCTTCCAAGGCTTCCAGCCCTGCAGCTTGGGGTCTTCCCAACCTTTCCACCTGGGGTGGGGGCCGAGGTGTTTCAAGGCCAGCAGTGGAGAAGGCAAGAGACCATACTGGCACAGCACTGAGTCTTGGGGTTGGCAAACATGGGCTTCCTTTTCTGCAGTGCATTTCATGGTTCTGAAGCAAAACAGGCTTCTCAAGCTGTGAAGAAAGTCACTTTTATTTCTACCGGGTGTATCCTGTGTGACAAAAAGAAAATCAAAGAGTTTTGTGGACCTGGCCCCTGCCACCGGCTGTTTCCCGGGCTCTGCCTTCCCAGCACCATCACTGCTGGTGCCCTTGCAGGCCAGGCCCCAACCCTTCCCTCTTTGCTCTGGGCTCCAGTCCTGCTGCCTCCTTCTTGCAGGCTCTGCTGCAAACCCTGCAGCAAACAATGCCCCGGGGTCTCTGCATGCTCCTCCACCAGCTGGACGTGCTCTTTGCTCTCCCACCCAGGTCTCACCAATGCGATCTGCTGGGAGCACCCTCCGACCTCGGGCTGGCCAGGGTCCTACTCCACCTGCTTCCCCAGCACCTGAACTTGTGGTCCTCATCATAATCGCAGTGAGTTGTTTATTACTGCTTGTCTGGAATGATTTGCCCCTGAAATTATCTTTCTCCTTTAACCTGAAGGCTGCTAAAGTGGCTGCTACCTCTAGCTTAGCAGAGAACAAAGGTGGCGACCCACAGCTTCAGAGTTTCTAGCCCTGCTGTTAACGCTCATGGCAGAGATCCATTTAAAAGAAAAGATTTTGGAAGGGTCAGCCTCTGGAGGATCTGAAGCAGAGCACCCTAGTTACAGCTCGGTCAGGAGCAGGCCCAGAGTCGGGGCTGGGCATGAGCAGCAGAGTCGGCAGAGGCCAGGGCTGGGAGGAAATGGCTGTGGGTGGTGAGCAGGCAGGGGTGTCTCACTGCCTCAGCAGGAGCAACTGTCTCTCATGGGTGAGGGGCATCCAGCAGAAGTGGGGTCTCACAACTGAGCTCAAGAGAACTGGCCATCCCATCAGTGCCAGGACCCACTAGCCTGGTGACGCCAGCATGAGGGGACCATGGAGTCCAGATACCCTCACCACTGCCATCCCTGCACGGAGCAAGTCTGGCCCCCAGTGTGAGCCACTCCCTGGGCAGGAGGAGGAAGAGGCTAAGACAGGACCTGGTGGGATTAAATTTGTCATCAGCAGAGTGAGGACCCAGGACAGAAATGAGTGAAGTAGCTTCTCTGCTCCCCAGTATTAAAGTCTGAAGGTCAATGATGTTAGACGGAGGGCAGGGCCGGGTGCACCTGGTTTGCTGCTGTGCCTTGGTGCCGGCACACACCCTGCCCAGAGGGGCACTGGCAGATCTCCTTCCCCTTTGGAAGGCCAAGTGCAAGGGAAGATGCTGCTCCTGTTGGGCCAGGGTCTGCAATTCTCCAGACATTCAGCACTGGGGGTCTCAGAGGGTCCCAGTAAGTCTAGACCTGACAACGCTAAGCAAGAAGGAAAGAGGACATGGAAGGCCGGAGGGGCATGAACTGCTATTGACGGGGAGGAGGGCGGAGTGAGCCAGCTGGGAAAGGGTGGCACTGTGCTGCTCATCGGACACTGTCTCCCAGCCCTCAGATGGGGCGACGTCCTCCTGTGCACAGGGTGAGAATCTCGGAGCAGCCGAGGAGCCAGTACCGCCAGGTCCTGCTTCCTTCCAGGGCCTCATGCCAGGGCTCTGGACACAGCCCTGTTTGGGCCAGGTGGCCTCGGGGCCACCTGGTGCCATAGCACATACTCTTCATCTGGACTCACCTGCAAAGCCCCCTACTGTCCCCCAAGAGATGAAGCTAGACAAGGAGGGGCCCTGCTTTTGGCCTAGCCAAGAGTCCTCCCTCTCTAATTTGGGGTGACAAGCTCAGGCTCCCGATGGCCTGAGAGCAGAAAGGCAAGCCCTGAGCCACAGGCCCCCTCATCTCTCATCTCACCTGCCCTGCCCCTGGGGAACTCAAGAGTGCCTGTCACTGAGGGCTGAAGGCCTGCCAGGATCCCAGAGATGAGATGGACAACTAGGGGTTCCCTGCAGAGGGAGTGAAGGAGGGGGCAGTGGCGGGGCAGGAAGTGGACGAGTGAAGGCCCCCGAGACCACACGAGAAAGTGTGGAGAGCTGGTTGATCAGCCTTCCGCTTTCCAGTAGGTCAAAGGAACAAGAACTGAGACTCTAATGTCAGCCTGCTCCCCCCTCACACAGCCTGTGGGAGCCCACAGGAACATGGCTGTGGGGGCACAGCAGAGGTGCAGGGTGCTGCTCTGGACCGGGGTAGAGGGTGCGGTGGGCATGGGAAGGGGTGGCACTTGCTAAATTTGACCATTAGTGTGGGGTGTGGAGTTGGGGTGGCCAAGCCCCACTATTACCAAGGTCCTACCCCCTCAGCCCCTATACAGAACCCAATGCTCAGAGCAGGGAAAGCTACACCCTCTTCAGCTTCGCATCAGTGTGGTGGGACGGCCTAGGTACTCACAGGGTATGTGGCTGGTGCCCGGGGCCTGGTGCTGAAGGATCTTGGGGTGGCGGCTAAAGGAGGCCACAACCTCAGGTGACACACGAAAAGCATTTATTTTTCAACAAATGTTCAAGCCTGATGACTCTGCTGGGTCCTGAGCAGGACCAGGGATGAGGAATGAGGACCCTCTGGATGGTCAAAGGCAGAGCCACATGCATGGTCCTGGAGCTCAGTGAGGGCGCTGGAGGCCCCAGACTGGGCAGGCAAGGGATCAGGGGCCATGGCTGAGGGTGTGAGGGGTCATACCACCTGACCCTGCTTATCACCCTCATCGATGAAAAGGCGGCTGGCATCCTCACTGCCGGACCGGGCCACCAGTCTGAGGAAGCAGGACACCCTGAGAGAGGGAAGGAGGACTGCTGGTCCTCTGAGCGATGCCCTTGCCCCCTTATCTGGAGCAGCCTGGCCACGGCCTGAGGGTCATCTGCATTGCTGGGCCACATGAGTCTTATCCAGTGCCCATAGGCCAGTCCTGCCCCGAGATCAATTTAAGGCCTGGTGGGGCTAGGACGAGGGAGAAGATATGCAGTGGGCCTGGGGTGTCTGAGAAGGAGCCCCTGGACCAGAGCACTAGCCCCTAGACCCTGAGCACCATGGGGGAGCCCAGAGCACAGTCCCCTCAGCAGGGCCGCTTGCTGTCCAGAAGGGCCTTCCAGTCGTCCGCCCAGGAGAGCAGCCTGCGGCTGGGGGGCTGCAGCGGCAGGTGCCGGTTGTGGCAGGCTGTGAAGAGTATGTGCTCCCAGCTGGGGTTGGGCTCGGCCCCTGTGAGTGGGAAAGCAGCACTCAGTCTAACACAGGAGCCTGGAGAGGCCGCCTGAGGACCGTCACGCAGTTCATCTCTGACCCCCTGGGGTCATCCCCCCCACCGTCAGGTCCATGGTGACTGCACTGGCACCCATCTCATGGGGCTGGAGGGGTTAAATGAGGTGTCCCCAACAAGCAGCGGCGCAGTGCACAGTGGGGCTGGGCAGTGACTGTGCTGCTCACTGTCACCACAGTCACTGTCCAAGGCCGAACCTTGCTGACGCCTGGCCTTCCTCTCTCCACGCCCAGTCACCTTGATACTGGCCAGCGCTAGCTGTTGGCCATAGGCCCCGTGGGGCCCCTCCCCCAAGCTTTAGTCTGCATGTGCACACTGGCACTGCCCCTTGGGTTACGGCCTGGCCCCCGGCTCCTTCTGCACAGGCCTCTTCCCTGCTTCCCATGGCTGGTGATGGAAGTCACAGGGGTCTCTGGGACCCTCACAGTCACAGTCCCAGCTGGCACTGCACCCTGACTCTCCCTGAGAAACTGTGTGGTTTGGGAGGTCAGGTTTAGGTGCACTGTGATTCTGTCCTCTGGAAACAGGGACTAGTATAGAGGTGGGCATGCTTCCCAAACCAGCTCAAAAAGCCATTAGGGGAGAAATATGCTATTATTTCCCCACTGAGGGGTCCTTATTCTCTTATAAGATTTAACTCCGTACTGTGAATGACTACCAGCAGGAAAGAGCCTGCCTGCGTGTGCGGCACACCAGAGCAGAGACAGGAGATAAAGATGCTGAATGTGACTGAGGTTGTCTGGATGCCTAGATTCAGCCATGCCTGAAGGCCTCCTGCCCCACCTTCTCAGGAAAATAAATTTCCCTCTCCTTTTAAAGACAGTTTAAGGTTGGTTTGTTGTTTTTTTGGGAGGGGACATCCATAAACAAAAGGGACAAATAAAGCTCCCAAACCACCTTCACTTTTCTGTATTATATATTAGGTTCCATTCAAATTGCTTTTAGGAAAAAATGGAGGTTCTTCTGATGAAAATAAACATTTGGAAGCCAGAGTTGCATCTTCATTTAACATGGGAAGGCAAAACTCCCTGGTGTAAGAGGCTCAAGGCAACCCAGTGAGTTCTGCCCAGAGCTGGGACCTGGCTCCCAGACCACACGCTGAGAAGAACCTTGTCTTCCCAACAAGAGGCTCAGTGCCAGGCTCAACGCTGGGCGCCTGACACAGCTGGCGACTAAGTGGGGGCCGCTTGGGACAGGCCCAGCCCCATGCACTGTTTGTCTGATGGCTCCCAGCCATCTACACTTGCTCCTTACCTGCCCAAGCCACTTGCCTGTGATGTCCGGCCGGTCGTCTATGAGAAAGTCAGCAGAGACCACGGTCTTGTCTCTGGTCAGCACCACCTGCTCCAGAAAGTCAGGGCCAAGGTGCTTCTCAACCCAGGCATACTGCAAAGTGAACAGGCAGAGGGGAGAAGAGTGCCGTCAGGACTGCGCACAGGTTGAGAGCTGCGGCAATGGCCAGGCTTTCTCCAGGACCAAGGGCCAAGCAAGGGAGACACGCTTATCCCATGGCAGCAGAGGAAATGGACAGTCAGTATGTAGGAGTGTGCAGCCAGAGGGTCCCCAAAAGAAGGATTTGTAATGGGGTCCAGAACTCAAGGTGTCCAGGAAATATTAGAAAGATATATAGGATGTCCTCACCCCCTACCACAGGTGTGAGTTGGGGGAAGGGACACATGGAGCAGGACCATTGAGAGCTGTTTTGCATAGCAACTAACCTTTGCAGCTAACCTCTGGCATGGTCATTTAACATATCTATATCCTTTAACTGGTTGCATAGATATGTTAAATAGCTGTGGCCATGCTCTGAGACAGGGGGATGGAAGGAACTTCCCCCTAAGATGTAACTGGGAGGCAACTCCCCCTAGTTACAGCGCCTGCATGAGAGCTTGGAGATGATTGGCTCCACGACATGGGGCCACCCCTGTGCAGACTCATGATGGAGCCCAGTAAAGCAGGAAGGATATTTAAACCCCGACTCGGCAGCCATTGAAGAGACGAAGCATGCGCTGCAGCCATGTAGGGAGGATCATGCACTTTTGGCACAGGGGGACCCCCCCCCCACCCCCGCAGCCATGAGAAGAATTACCATGCGGCTTTAGCAGAGAACCACCATGCAGCTTCAGCAAAGAACCACCACGTGGCTTTAGCTGGGGATCCCGGCAACACAGCTGATGGTGCCGGGAACTGAGGAAGGCCTCCCAGCTGAGCACGGATTACTGGGAAGAACTGGGGACTGCCTGAGCCACGGACTTCTATTTCTTTCCCTGAGATACGGTACCCCAGAATGGGCAAAGGAAGAAGGAAGGACTGTGTGTGTTTGTGGGTGTTTTAAGGAACTTTGGGATTTTGACGAAGACATTAAGTCATTACTTTTAGTCTGTATAACTTGAACAAATAACTCCTTTCTTTTTCACCAATCTCTAGCATGGAGAGCTGTAATTCTCTGGCTTAGGGAAAGGTAAACCTAGTACAGGGGGACCCCAGGAGAAACGGGGGTCAATTCGGTAGCGTTGTGGGACCCTCTTCCCTGGTGGCCAATCAGGGAAAATCATGGGAGACCACATGCACAATAGCTTTAAAGTAATACAATTACTTGTACATGCTCAGTAAAAGTCCACCAAAACTAGCCAGGAAGGATCCGCCTTATAAGAATAAAGTCCCTCCAGCCCATGAGGTCAATCTCTGCTTGGAGTTGGCCTGCTCCCATGTTCTCTGCTATAAACTCTGGGTGTTGGGTTCAATTCTTTGTCCCAATCATTAAGAACCTGGTTACCTGTGCCCACCTGTGACAAGTACAAAGGTGTGATTTGTCCATATCACAGTCCCAGATCCAACCCAGACTGCCCCCCCGCCCCAGCTCTAATGCTACTCATGCCTGGTGGCTGCCTCCCTCCCACCGGCTCAACCTGAAAATGCCTCACACCTGTGCACACACAGGCTCCAGGAACACAGGAAACGGGGATGGAGATCAAAGATGCATTGAAACAAGTCGTTACTTGACACTTGGGAAAGTGCTACTGAAAGGGGACTCAAGACTTGGAAAATTTTAGCTTAAGGTAAAAAGCTGTAAGTCTAGCAAGTAATGTGTATGTTAAGCTTTTGTTTCAGAAACTACAGATAAGGCCCATCCTGGCTCCTGGGAAAAGCAGCTGACCTCCTGGGGCACTGGCTAGAGATTACCCCCTGGGGACATGTTGGAGGCATCCTGCCCCTTGGGAACAGCTAACTGCAGAGAACAGGAATGCTGCAGCTTCACTCACCTAATCCTCCTTGAATTTCAAAGCCCTCACTGCACCTTGTTTGTCCTCCCCCACCCCCTTATAAAAGATCTGGCCAGGAAAAAGAAGGCAAGATGGTTTGTTAGGGTATGAACCCCCCATCTTCTCAGATCACTGGCCATCTGAATACAGTGCCCATAAAAGATTCAATCGCTGTCATTGCTGATTGGATTTGGTAGGGACAGGCAGCCCAAACGCCGGTGTCTTTTCTGGTTACATTGCAAGATGCTGTTCTGCTACGCCTGGATTTTACCTGGGCACTCGGGACTTGTGCCTTTTATGGAGGCAGATGACCACATACCCCAGATACTGAAGAAGAGCTGCTGTGTGAGGATGGTGACCAGTACCTTCCAGAGGGACTGGAAAACTCTGCACAGCAGGATTAAGACCAGATAAGAATATGGGACTTTTGGAGCTTTTGGTTTAGAGCCTGGTGGGGAGCAGGGAAGTGCTGGGTCTCGTGGGAAAGGAGAGCTTTGAGCTGAGGTGCTCTAAGCTCTCCCAAGGTTGGAATATTGTAAATAAAGACCTGCTTCTTCCAGCTTTAATTGTTGGGTTTTACAACAAGGTACCACGTGGATGGGTCTGGTCTGCTTGGTAACAAGAAAGTTTGGGCTGCTGCCCTCTGGCTGTCCTGCATCCTCCCCCTTTCCCTGTAGGGTGTGGTCTTGGTGAGGGGTGCACTCCCACCACAGGCTAAAATGGGTCCTGCCTGCTCCCTCCAGAGCCTCCTACCTACCACCACCTCACTGCAGGGTGCCTGGGCCACCTACTGGACTCTATGGGGCAGCCAGCATCATGAGGGAGCCTCAAGAGCAAAGACAGGAGCCCCTCCCTGCCAGAGTGCCACAGTCCCAGCATTCCCCTGTCCTTCCAAGGTCTTTCTTAATTTCTGCCTTCATCCATTTGCCAATAAGCACCTTCAGCAACAGACCCTGTTAGGTGTATGAATTTTAACCAGCGTCAGGTTTGAAGTAGTTGAGGGACCAGATATACTTTTTTTGAAAGCACACCCTTGTTCTGGCGCAGAGAACTCCAGAAGCCACAGCATAGGTGGGCGTGGCCCAGGCCTCAGGGAGCTAAGGGGCCCCACACAAGGCCTCCCGGGGAGCCCATCTCCCCGTGTGTGAAAGGGGTACAAGGCCACAGCTGCTAGGGATTGCCTCTTTCAGGTTGAAAGGGCACCACGCAAAGCGCCACAACAGCTGTAGAAAGTCTCCTTAATCTGAAGAGTGGGAGGGTTGAGCTGGTGAAGGCGAAGTGCAGACACCAGGCGGCAGGCAGAGCCCCTGCCATGACCTGCCAGTGCAGTGGAGCTCAGGGTGGCCCCGCCTGCTGGCCCAGCTCCAACCCGTCCTGTCATCCCCTCCCTTTCAGTGTCCCCTTCTTTTGATTTCTTGTCTGTGTTATGCTCTTCCCCACTTCATTAGCTTCACACAGAACATTCCCTCTGCCTGGAACACTTCCTGCCACTGTTTTTTCCCCATGCGCACACACACCCACATGCACCCCCTCTCTCCCAGCACAGCAAGCTCCTGATCCTTCTAAAGCTGCACGTCCTCAGCCTTCCCTAATTCACCACACTCTGTCCTTCCTAGCAGTGGCTACAGGTGCAGCCATGTGCCCGGGTACTTATTTGTTTCACATCTTTCTGCCCCACTTGACTGTAAATTCCCTGAGGTCAGGGACCATGTCTCAATGAATACTTGTTGAGTGACCACACAAACCAAAAACAAACATATGATAGGAAGAAATGTGTCAGTGTGGGCCAGCCCTGCCCAAGGGAGAAGACGCTGATTCTGAAGCCTCATGGCCCGGATCACAGGGTGGTCCCACAACAATCTGGAGGCCATTGGGCGCTCTCCTGCCTCTCGACGGCCCAGTTCTGGCTTCCCCTAATATCACTGTAAGTCCACAAGTCTGGCAGAGCCAGGTTTCACAAACTACTTGTGGAGAAGGACCAGTCGTTTTCTGTTTTCAATTTCCAATTGACCCTGGACCGATAATTCTGCAAGATCTGAAACCCAGTCACATGTTTGGATGCTGCATCCATGTCAAATAGCCAGCACAGTTCTGAGCTGCACACACCAGTTCCTGCCTTTCTTTCCTCTGGGCCAGCGTGGTCTGTAGACCACGAGTGGGGTAGCTCTAAACAATGGGTTTTACTTAGGAAAGTGATACTAGGTTCACACCTTCCAAGGCTCATGGTGGTGAACAGATTCTCTATGGATAAAGAAGCTCAGAGGCTCAGCCTCCAGGCCCTCGCCCCACACCCTGCCTCACAGCTCCTGAACCTCAGAGCTCCCAACCCATGCCCAGGCCTCATGTCCCGCCCCCTGCCACCACCACTACCCAGGTGCAGGCGGAAACCTAGTGTGGACACTTGGCCTAAACAGGCAGCGCGGGCTTTTCATCACTGAGTCTCCCCAGCAAGTGGCCCAGACCTCGATACAATAAAATGGTTTATACCAGTGCCCCTTCAAGGAACTGCTTTGGGGGTTAAATGTGAAGATGTACATGCAAGTCTTGGCATGGCACCTGGCGCCTAGGAAGTACTCAGTCAAGGTGGCAGGACAAAGAAATCTGGCTTTGGTCTCCCCGTTGCCTGTGGTTCGGGTGCATCTGCCCTGCAGAGCCTTGGGCAAATCTTCAAGACTCCAAGACTCAGGATCCTCACAATGTTGTTGGGGGGTTAAGTTACATAAAATCTATGTAGGATGCGCAGAGTAACACCTGGCATATAGTAAGTACTTAGTACGTGTTTTTGTTACAACTAAATTTTAATAACCCCAAATAGTACATAAAAGCTACTCATACTGGTCAACTTGGCAAAGTCACAGGATATAAGGTCAAAATATAAAAATCACTTGCATTTCTACACAGTTGGATATTGAAATGACACAATACCATTTACAATAGTGCCAAAAATACAAAACAGGCTGGCCGTACACTTAGAAATGGTTAAGATGGTAAATATTATGTTATATGTATTTTGCCACAACCTTTAAATGTTAAAAAAATAAAAAATTAAAAAAATGCCCTGGCTGGTGTAGCTCAGTGGATTGAATGTGGGCCTGTGAACCAGAGGGTCACCAGTTCAAGTCC